TGGGGTCGAGCCTTAGTTGTCTGATTGGGGTGCCCTTTGCCCAGACTGTGCATGACCAGACGCCTTCGTCGTTGTAAACTTCCTTCACTCTGATCTGGGTAAGGTTCCCCAGCGGTCTGCTGGGTGGGAGATCTTGATCCTCCGTGATTTCAATGAGCGTGTTTGAGGACGGCGCCTTGATCCACTGTTGAAAGTTCCTTGATCCATCGATGTCGATTGCTCTCAGCTTCCAGTAAGAAACCATCGGTTCTCCATGGGATGGTGGTGTCTTCATGGTGAACCACGTACCAGGTGGAGGGGTCCCTGCCGGGCTTAGCAGGAACCTCCACTCCGGGGGGAGGGCGGTCCTCAAGCAGGCCGCTCTTTCTTCCACTTGACCCAAACGGCCGAGTTTTTCTTTCAGATCATCCGTTGTCTTCCATTGGCCGGTGAGTTCGTCCCAGAGGTCGGACACTCTTAGCACACCTCTCTCCGTCCATGTCTGCCAAATGCGGATGCTTCGCAGCCTGCGGTTTTCTTTGCCGAGGCGGTGTTTTTTTTGCCGATTCAACCTACTTCCCCCTATCTTTGAAGTTTTCCATTTGTTCTCTGTCTGGACCCGAATTCAGGGTTCTAATTGGACAGCTCATAGGCGTACCACATGAGCTCTTTTTTCATCTGACATGATTCTAAAGTCTTTTGTGTGGACGCTGCGCACAGCAGTAAGATGTGAAGTGCCCCATGGACATAATTGTCTTGAGTAATGCAAAATGGCGGGAAAGTGTTTACAGGGTGCAAAAACGATGCCAAAGCTCATTTCGGGCCTTGCAGCACTTTCGAAATGAACCATGTACTCATAAAGTTTTACCTCGCCAACATCAATGATCATTCACACGAGAGTTCACCTGTGCACGTGAAAAGCCAAAGGTGAGATCCAATCAACACATGACGAAGTCATCTCCAAAACTATCATTATTATGCAAGAAATGTTTGTCTCCAGCCGCTCTGCCGCACACACACACACACACTCAGGACTGATCTCAACTGGATGGCGACTGTGGCTTCTCTCAACTGCGGCTTCTCTCTCTCTCTCTCTCTCTCTCTCTCTCTCTCTCTCTCTCTCTCTCTCTCTCT